AGAGGGATTCTGCTGCTAGGGGGCAATATGTAGCAAGCAAAACCACATTAAGGCATTTTATCTCGGTATCTTATCAAAGTTTTTTCTTAAAAAAAGGACCCAAATCCAAAAAAATAGCCCACATGTTGGTATAAACAAAATGTTCAACCTTTACTTGTGGGTAATGTGTATTTCTTTTAGCATATGTGTGTGTGTGTGCAGATGACTTCCTTAATATGCACCCTCCCTATCTCAGCAGGGTCATTCTGAGTGACTCTTGAGTTTTCATTCTGAATTCTATCATAATTTATGTAAAGCAAAAGGATAAGAATGTGGACATTTCAAAGTCTTAAATCACGTGGTCTTGTAACTCTCCTGCTTCTTCCTTGTTGAGAACAACTGAGAGAGTTAACTCAGGTGTCTTTATGGCTTTTTTGTTCTACCACTTTCTTACACTCCCTAAAAAAGAAAGCAAGAGGAGATAAGGGAAGGCAGCTTCAGCAGCATTATTGGTTTCAGGGAAATAGTTGTTCATTTCTTTATATATACTCATGCTGACCTGATGATGCTCATCTTAGAAATAGTGCAGGATATTTCTGTAAAAACTGCATGGTGTGAATGTAATATTTATATTCATTTTAATGCTAAAAATATTCTTTTTGTCTGAGAATACTCAGCAGCTATGCCTGATTATGACTGCAATATCAATCAGCTGCTTGACTGAGCTTGTGGCTAGTCAGGGAGAAAATACACCCATTTCTGGAGCAGGTTTTTGGTGCTGGTTCACCTGGTGATCAATGGAGAAGTCCAGTTGTCTAAATGAGGAAAGGCTACAGCATAATCTGCCAAATTTCGGTGGTGAGAAATTTATCACTACTTAGTGTTAATTTTTGCAAGAAGAGTTTGAGAATTTTCACAGCTGCAACTGAAAACTGAACAAAGGAGCAGGTATTTTTGAGGTGTTTTTTTTTTTATGGATTCAGTCTTGTTTCCCATGTTGTTCAGAGTGAGAGACTGACTGGAGATTCAGAGGGAGAAGTAGCTGCTGTGGAGACACCAGCCATGCACAGACTCCAGTTTCTGTCCTCGTGTTCTCACCTCTGGGGTTCACAGGGGTTTGTCTGCTCCAGGTGAACACAGTGCTTGCTTATTTCTGTGCTGGAAATGGCACAGGGCTCGTCGTACCCGATGCATCTCACAGGGAAACAATTTCAGAATCTCTCTAACTTTGCTGCAGTTTGCAAGGTTGTTGTGGCATCTCCATGCTCTGGATTGCAGCTGGTGGCTCAGTGTAATCCACAGCATTCCAGGATCTCTGGGAGAACTTCCACAGAGAGCAGAAAGGTGGTTTAGGAGCTGCTGCAAACATCTGTTTCTATGCCTTCTCCTTCTTGCTCTCCCATGTTACCTCACTCCTAACAAAAAAAGGAACAGTTTTAAAAGTATTTGTATGGTCCATAACCTATGGAGCTCTTCTAAACACAAATGCTGCCTAAAGGTCAGTTCTTTTATTCCAGCAATGAAAAATACAGGTTTATTAACTGCAAATATGGGAATTACCTGGCAGTGCCTGTGCTAAGGAAGGTAGAAACTCCTAAGCATCTGATTTTCACCAAATGCCTTCTCAAACCTGGTTCATGGATGGGATTGAAATTGATATCAAGTGCTTTTCAGCTTTCCTACACTCTTACAGAATGTGGATGTTTTGAGTCAACTTTAAAGTATTCCTTTAAAGTATTTAAAATTCTGTGCTGTACACTTGGCAGGGTGTTTTGTGATTCATAGCAAATATTGGGAAATGACAAAGCAATACATGATAAAGTCTAAAAGAAGCATTGGGTGGGTCTGAGTCTATGTTCCAGGAATATTAGGGACTTCTGCTGACTGGAAATCCATGGGGTTTTAAACAATCACCTGTGGATACAGAGGAGAAAGGGTGGATTGGTTTTATAGCTGTGTTGAAATATATTAAGTGCTTCTTCCAGTCTTTGTTGTAGTGTCTTCTGCTTAGTCAATAGAAGAGAGTGGGTTAGTCAGCATTAGAAGGAAGCAAAGCTGGCAATTTTTACAATGCTCTCCTCTTTCAACTCCCAACAAAGAGATTAGGATGTCACTCTACCTGAATTAAGGCATTAATGTGATTTGCACTCTTCATCTAACACCTACTATCTTGCCATAAATAATTCTGAACATTAATTTATTTTGAGATTTAATTATTGCCCTTGTTTAATATAATTAACACAAAATAGAGATTCGTGGTTTTAAGTCTTCAAAATTCCATGTAAAAAGTTCTTTTGTGTTCTGCAACAGAAGGCTTTGACCTCTGCCAAATCAGCACAAGTGAACTGGTTATAATCCCTGTGTGTTTGTGATTACCAAAGTGGTTTGGATGGCTTTACTGGGTATTAAATCCTGACATCACCTTTGAGTACAGAAATCAAACTTGTTGTAATTAAGGTTCTATCAAGAAAGCTCTCACAATTCACATCCTTTCCAGTAGTCATAATAAACCAGAATTGTGTGATTCACTGCCTACCTGAAGCATTTGTTCCTTCCGATATTGCCAGGCTGCTGATGTGTGAACAGAAGTATAAATATTTACCTGGGGATGGGGGATTGTTTGGGCTTGCACAATAGTCCTGAATCATCTGAGCAGGTCTCCTTGCTCTGTGCTGTGGACTTAACAAATACTGCTCAGAAGTGCAGCTCCAGGGCACGGGGAGGTTGTTTGGACTCAATGAAGCTTGTGATTTTTCTGCTCTAAAGCTATTCCATCCCAGCTGTAATTTCTAAACTAGGACTTTTCAATTCACAGGTCCATTATGAGATGTACTAACTATTCAGATTCATAGTCAGGAGAAGGTGCTTCCCTTCCAATATCCTCTGTAATCTGCTGAAGTCACTTGGTTTTACTTCATGCAGGTGTGAAAGGAGGAAAAAGAAGAGTGGACTTTTACAGCACTTAACCCACTGTTTATACAGAGTTGTTTCAGACATCCTTCCAAATAAAAATGCAGGTTGTTACGTTTATGAAGTTCCAAAAGTTATTTTATTATTTTATGAATATTTTACAGCTTGAGTACACAGGGTTCTGCAGCTGATCACACTTGTTTCAATTCCCATTGTTCAGGGATTCTGCCTGTATGTGCATGTATATGTTGGGAAAAAGAGAACATACCTATATAAGGAATTGTTACAAACATGCCAATTGCTCCCATGAGACAGAGGATTTATTTTTGGGGGGGGCTGCATCTCTATATTATTCCAGAAAAATCTTCTTTGACTGTTACAAGTGGCTCAGCGAGTTGGAAGACGCTGCCCCAAGATCACAAGAGTGGCATCTGTTCTGAGGGAGCTATTGGAGACTTTTAAAGAAAGGCCAAGAGCAGCAGCACAGATCTGCAGAGATGTGGGTGTTCCCCGCTGTGCACACGGATATATGAGGATAGTTGATGCCCAGATTTTATGGTGAGGTGATGATGTTAATGAGCACTGAAGTTCCCAGGAAAGCAGCCTGGAGAGAGCCGCTTGGGGCACCAGATTTCCCAGAACTGAAACGAAGATCCACAAACTCGTGGTGTTTTCAAGTTCCAGGCAAGCATAACTGCAGCTGTGACTTCCATAATAATAATAATGTTTATCTTTCTCTGATAAGCTCAAGAGATGTACCAAGGTCTTGGCTGCATCTTCCTCCTCTGCTGCTGCAGGTTGTTCTCCATGTGAGCTCCTGCACGTCCCCAGGTTCTTTCAGTGCCCTCCCAACATTACAGTTGGCTCAGGTTGCTTGGGGCCACGTGTGGTCGAGCTCTGACCATCTCCAGGGATGGATGGAGATTTGTAGCTTCGCTGGCTCCTTCCCCATCATGTTGTCACCCTTGTTGTTAGAGAATTGAGGGTTTTTTTTTTTAATGTCTGGTCATAATTTCCTTTGTTGCAACTCGTGTCTGTAGCCTCCCATCCTTTTGCTGTGCACCTGTGGGAAGAATCTGGCACTGCTGTGTCTGTGCCTGCTCAGTTGGCAGTGGAAGGCAGGAATGGGAACCTAACATTTGCCTTTTCTTTGGGCTGCAGAGACGGAGTGTTGAACCAGTTGCAGCAACCACTGCCTGTTGTAATATAACTGCTATTATAGTGTACTCCTCTGCATGGTTTTGTTGTTTGGGAAAGCTAATTTGGCAGCCCATTAAAGGCTAAATTCTAAAATTCTTGCTTTATCTTCACTCTTTAAATGAGCAAGTCCTGCTCCTCTGTAGTTAAAAAAAAAAAATACAGTGCTGCAGTATTTTACTTCGATGTCAAAATGAATAAAATCTTGGAACACTGTGCCTTGTATTGCTTGAATAAGTGCACACATGCAAATACTAGTTTGCATTTTGTCAGTTAGCTGGTTGCTGAGTTTGTAGTGAAATTTTTATATTAAATCCCTTAGCCTATCTATATACTTAAGTAGTAAGTGGGAACAGTTTAGATCTGTGGCAGGCTGAGAGGGAGAAAAGCCCAGATTTTCAAGACTACTTAAAGAAGGATGGTTCAGTAAATCTGATGCAGTATACAGGTACTTGAAGGGAGAGTCTCAACTTAGTTTTTCAGCATGAACAGGTGCATGTTGAAGGACAAAATGCTGACTGAAAAGGGGAGAGCATCGTGCCACCTATCCTCACCAGCTCATTCTCAGGCAGTTTTCCTCTTTTTCCCTCTTTTTTTTCCTTCTGTTGCCAAGAAATAGAATCATTCTATGAGACCATAAACACATCCTGGGACACCAGTGCAGGGAAAAAAGTTAACTGAGCACTGAGTTAACTGAGCACTCCTCCTCTGGACGAGGAGGAGACCCAGGTAGGGCTGAAGAGGGCTGAGGAAAGCTGAGAAGGGAGGCACAGAGAAGGGGTGGGAGCCCTGCCCAAGGGCTCATTGGCAGAAGAAGGCAGGAACAGGATACGTTTCAGCTTTTGGGCGGCTCTGGGAGGAGCAAGGGTTGGGAATTAAAAGTGTCTTGATAAAATTGGTCGTTTTCTTTTCAGACGGAGACAGTGAGTTTCATGGGGTGGATTTTCTGCCAGAAGATCTCAGCGAGGTTCCAGAGGAGACAGGAATGAGGGTGAACAAGAAATACTCCTGCCTACCTGCTGAGGAGAAGGGGATCCACATCATCAACATCCAAGCTATTGAGGACATCGGATATGACCAGCACGAGAGCACAGTGAGTAAAGGACTTGCCAGATGTCTCATAACAGCCATCCTGCACTTCACCCCTCAGCTTATTTCTCATTCCTTCCATTCCCAGGGTGCTCTGAAATCCTCTCCCTCTGATTTTCAAAGGTGCTGGGAAGGATTGCCACCAGCCACAGGACAGGGTTTGTTCTTTGATGTGTGAAAAAGGGAGGCAAGGGAGCCTTGTTTGACATGTAGCCTAAAAAGGGGGTCGACTCTTCTCAGAGTGAGGAATCTGGCAATAAGGCTGTGGCAACCTCCTTACCCATATGGAGAAGAACAGAAAAGAATGTCTAAAATTTCATGCAAAAGCTGTTGTTGTCATAGGTAACATTAAACTAATACTGTGTAGCACACAATAGAGGGTAGATATCCTGTGTCATTAATTGTGCCTTAGTTAAATTCTGTAACACAGAATTTAAAGGCAGTTAGTAATATGAACACCCAACATGATTACGGGTTGGTTATGTCATAAACACGTAAAAAGAAGTTTGTTCAGGTGAAGGAATCAAGGTGGAGTGGGCTGTGTAACAGATCTTGCTGGGGAAAGAGGTACCAGAAAAATCAGGACGCGTTTTATTGTTTTGGGGCTTAGTTAGGATGGAGGACTAATTTGTCAGGGCATAAACATCTCTCCTGCTGTGGTAAAACTGAAATGTCTTTCCTCTGTCTCATTCTCAACTGAAGGGACTTGAGCTTTATGTGGTCTAAGTCCATGCAAGTCTGTATTTCAGCACAGCAGCCCTGCAAGAAAGCCTGTGGCCCGTGAGGACCTTTCAGCATTAATACCCCACCCTTAAAATAATCTGGCCACTTATTTCTTTGCATCCTGTTTGCAGTGGGACATAGCTATTCTCATATATTAATAAGTTTATTGAGCCTTCAGCAGCCACAGTGCAGCACCTTCTCCTAAGTTATCAGCTTTCCACATGGTCAGCTTTCCAAGAGGAAAGTCCAAAGAACTGTGAAGGAGCTCTAATTCTCATCTGGTGCTTCAGCCCAGTTTTTCAGAAACTGCTGTTTAATTATTTAACAAGATCAATGCATCTTTAAAAGTTAAATACAATCCGGTTAGCTACCATTTGTTAGTATTTGGTTCCTGTAGAAATTTGCATCAGTGAGTTGCCTGCCACAAGCTGGCTTTAAAAAAACCCTCCTGGATTCACAGGTGCGTGCCAGTAATCATGAAACAATTGGAAATAACAGCTATTAATGGTCTTTTATGTCAAAGTTGTGCTTAAGAACTAAATGGGAATATCTAGGTAGGGCACAAACATGAACAGCCTGTGCCCTGAAGAGTTTGTCATGGCTAAATAACCCTCCATGGAACAGGGGAAAGAGGGAAGAGGACAAAGAGTGAACTCCACGGTGGCACCAAATATTATATTGTTTTATTGTGTATTTATTTATTTGGTGTAAAGTGTTCAGGTTAGTGGAAAAGAGAGATACAATATATCTGATTACACTTGTCTAATGACTTCTTCAGCGTGATTTGTCCTCCCTCCAAACCCACAGAAATGGGCTTTGCTGCTTGAATTTGTTGCCTGGGTAAACATCTCTCCCCAAGACAAAAAGGGAGGGACAGACTGTCCCTTAAAAAACACTGATTTGTACTTGTGGCAGCTGGGACCTGCCCTCCCCAAAGTGAGGTTCAGACAAGTGGCCAAATCTGTGTGACACTGAGTGGGTTTTGGTGAAGTTTGGGCTGTACTGGCAGGGAGTAAGCTCAGAGGCTCCTCTTTTCAACTGGCATTTAAAGATTGGACTGTCTTAGAATCTACTCCTTCCCAATAACTTACATTCATGGTTTTATGTACAAAACAAGCAGGTTTACACATCCCAAGTGGATTTTAACCGATATGATTTTCAACTGATGGCCAGTTGCTTTCTTTTGTAGCAGAAATCCTTTTCCCCATGCAGGGCATTAACATTCTCTTGTAAAATTAAAAGCCAGAAAATGTCCCTGAAAAGCTACTCCCATGATGAGTATTTTTTGTAAAAACAAATGCAAGTTACTAGTGAATTCTGAAATTCGTTTTTTTAATTTTTTTTTCTTTAGTCTGTGCATCTCCAAGAGTAGAATTGTGAATTGTGCACGAGAAATGCTGCGAAAGTAGAAATGAATAATTGTTGGTACTTTTTTTTATGTTTCTGCAGTTGTGCAGTTTTCAGAGAAACGCTTGGAAGTGGAATCATTTCTAAAACAAATGCAAGTTCCTAGTGAATTCTGAATTTTTTTTTTAGTTTTTTTTTTTTGTCTGTGCATCTCCAAGAGTAGAATTGTGAATTATGCACGAGAAATGCTGCGAAAGTAGAAATGAATAATTGTTAGTACTTCTTTTTATGTTTCTGCAGTTGTGCAGTTTTCAGAGAAAGGCTTGAAAATGGAATCGCGTTGAATGTCTCGCCTTCCTTGCATCTTGCAATGCTTACACAGCGTTAATTAAGGTTGGGAATAAAGCCTTTGCCACCATCAGGTTGCATAGTGACATAGGTTTTATAAGTGGGGGAGAAAAAAGTGATGAAACTCAATAAGCAGCGAACCCACTTCCCTGGCCACGGTCCATCCGCGGTTTTGGCCGCGCTGCAGGACCAGCTGGCTCCCTTCAGTCTCTATCTAAGATGATCTCTTTCTCAGATGATATGAACTTGCACTGGTAGATAAGAGAAGTGAGAAATGTTTCCACATGATATTAATCTGTTTGTCAGAATTGCAACATTGCAGATGTCACGGGTGGAAAAGGACAGATGATCTTAGTGGCGATTAACCCCCAAAGGAGAAAACCAAACCCACCGAGTAGCTGACTTATGAACTAGTGTGCTGGTGATTAGATTAAATCCCAGCCATCTAATCTATTTATTTCTGGCCAATAAAATCCCAGCTGGCTATCAGTAAAATTGAAGGTGTTAACTTGCAAAAATTTTGTGAGTGAGTAGCACGGGGGGGGGGGGTGACGGGACTCCTCCCATCCGCTGGCTCTTTGAACGCAGGTCATCGTGTGCTCCAGGCAAGAAGGAGGCCTTGATACGAGGGATGGTCTGTCTGGTGTCCGTGTTGGCCTGTGCATTCATTGTTCCTCTCTCTCTCCTTCTCTCCACACCCCCTGTTCCCTGCTTCCAGCTATTAAATTCCCTGTCCAAAAATCCGGATGCTGACTGCAAATACGGGCTCTACTTCAGAGACGGCAAGAGGAAAGTAGACTACATCCTTGTTTATCACTACAAGAAGTCCTCAGCAGGGAAGACACTCGCCAGGAGAGCTCAGCAGAATGACTCAAGTGTCCGAAGCACCAAGCAGGACCAGCCGCTTCCCGGGAAGGGAGTGCAGCTGGAAATGGGGGAAAGTGAACCTCACATGGATTACCATGAGGACGACAAGAGGTTTCGCAGGGAGGAGTATGAAGGGAACCTCGTGGAGGCTGGTCTGGAACTGGAACGTGATGAGGATGTAAGGATCCATTGCAAACAGTTAGAGAGGATAAGTGGTGGCCAAATCCTGGGAGATGCTGAGCCCCTCCTGTGAACCTGACTCTGATCAAGGTTGCACAAGCCCAGCTCTTGCAGAATTTGATGTCAGTTCTGGCAGTGCCATCCTCGCCCACGGATTTAATCCACATCACAGGAGTGTGCCAAGGTGTTGTTGATGCCCCAGTGAGGTGAAGTCCCTGACTTTTCCTGGCCAGGACTCGTGGCACATCCACTATTGCAACACAGCTCCTTGGCATGTTGTCGTATCTCTTAGCCAGGCTTAAATTGCTCTGAAGGCTGAGCCCAGTTTGGTGGGTTTACAAAATGCAGTGCTTTGAGTCCGCTGGTAATTCCAGTTCTGAGGAAAAAAAAAAATACCTGATACAGGGACACTTTTATCCCTCTACAGAGACCAGAAGGGAATTTAATTTGCAGGGGAGGTTTCTGGTGCACGCTCGGGCGCGTGGGTCCGTGCTGCAGTTTGCTCTTTCCATTCTTAGACACGGACAGTACAGCTTGTAACTCCTTTCACCTGTACCCTGAAACCACTACATTCTATTAAAAGGCCATTAGCCTGTGTAAAAAAATGATGTGTGTGAAGTGCTGCCAGTGTGTGATTAGTAGGAATAGACACAGCCATATTCATTTCAAAGAAAGCTATTAGAATTAACTGATCCGACCAATATGCCAGAAACTCCTGAGGGAGAGGGTAAACATTTATGCTGGTTTTATTTACAGGATCTAAAAGCTGAGATAAACATTTAGACCCCCTGAAAAGAGTGTTAGGAAAATAAATCCGCCACCTACTACTCACAAATTTGACATTTACGTATTTTATATATTATATATATACATATGTAATATATATTTTTTGCATGGTCTAATGCAAAAAAACCTTAACAAACCTTTCCCTTCTCTGTCTTCCAGTGAAAATAAGACTTGCTTTCTGTCCAACTTGCAGGTTGTTGCAGTGAACTGAAAGCTTGTCTGTGCCAAGTCACAGATATTTAAATCCTTTGCAAGATGGGAGGTCCCACCTGTGACATGTAATCTGATTTCAAATTATGCAGAAGGGCTCAGGGTTCAAGCCAGGGCACTGTAAAAGAGAGAGAACTCTGTCCTTTCAGTGCAAGATACCAAACAGATCAGGAAAGTATAGAGAAGACTCAGGGATTTACACAGTATAGGGGGGAAAAAACCTGCAATCACTGGGGCTTGAAAAGCCACAAAGTTGCATGGGAGGCCTTACTGATTCCAAAAGAGCAAAAGTTTCTTTAACAGATGATGATGAGTCACTTTATAAGTCACTTTAACTCTCTTCAATGAAGTGCCTGGATGGGCACACACAGAGTTGTGGTCAATGGTTTAATGTCCAAAAATAACTGATTAAAACAAGACAGTCTGGACAGGGCTTGGAGCAACCTGGTCTTTCCATGGCAGGAGTGTTTGAACTGGATGATCTTTAAGGTCCCTTCCAACCCAAACCATTCTCTGGTCCTCTGATTAACCAATTTCTGGAAATCCAGTGAGGAGTAAAGCTGTGTGAGAGCTCATTATTGTACTGCCTGAGTTGGTACAGCAGCAAGGTTAGAAAGATGCATTAAAGGTCATTTTTCTTCTGTTTGCTGAACGCCTCCTGGTTTGATATCATTTGTCCAGTGCCTTTGAAATGATTGCTCCAGTGGGAGTAAACATGGGTGTATGTGGGAGTGCCAGGAGCAAACATCCATGTCCAGAACTCAGAGAATTAGTGGGCTGCAAGAACACCACTAGCACTGTCATTAACTTCTGTCCTTCTTTCCTTTTGTTCTGTTGAGTTCTTCCCACCGGTTTTCCTGATCATAATGTGTAGTGTTTTAATGTAAATAACTCACATTCGGTTCTGAGGCCGCTCCTTTGAGACACTGGGCAGCTCTCAGGAGGCTCTCTCAGCCCCAGTAATTACAACTCACTCACAAAATCATGCCATTTGGCTGCATGCCTGTGCTTCACATTTAACTGGCTTTGCCTGTATTCGTGTCCATAGGCATTAGCTTTTATTTCCCGAACGGTTTTTAATCTGTTTAACCTTGTGGTAGTTGTTCTGGAAGACAATGGCATTTTTGAGTCACATTTTATGGCAGCTCAGCACAGTGAGGTGTTCAGTGATTGTCCTGTTGTTAGAAACCAGCTGTCTCAAACAAATGAGGTTTATCACGTTGGCCGTAATGGACTGATTGTTCCTTAAATACGTATCAATCACAAGGGGGAAAATATTTAATTTTCTCTCATCAGTAACCTTTTCTCCTGTTTTTTTTTTGTGTTGTTGTTTTGTTTGTTTGTTTGTTTTTTTTAAAGACTAAAATCCATGGGATTGGATTTGTGAAAATACACGCACCGTGGAATGTATTGTGTCGGGAGGCAGAATTTCTTAAGCTCAAGATGCCCACAAAGAAGGTGAGTCATGATTTTCCTTTTTCCTCCTGAAGGCTTATTTTAAATATATTCTCACCTCAGAGCACCTTAATGATGTTGAATTTTTTTTTTTTAATTCCCACGAGCATTTTAAAAATAATTAACTAATCTGCACCAAAAATGAGAGTCACAAACTTACCTGGGGCAGCAGGAAGAATAAGGGGAAGGAGGAATGGAAATCAAGAATTTCTGTCCACTACCACTATCTGTACATGATGAGAGTGATGTCATCCTCAGTGTGTTTTAAAAGAAGAGGTTGCAGTTGATGATGAAATTTCTGTGTGTGTTTTGGACGTTTTTTTCTCACTTGAAGCACCAGACTTCTGAAAATGGACATAAAAATAAGGAATTGTCTTGCTGGGTGTGGTGACTGTTCATGTACATCGTGAGTCACGCTCGCAGGAGTTGGGGGCCACTCTCCCACAAAATAAATTGCCTTTCAGAATATTTGAAATACCATTAAAGAGATGACAGTATATTTTCATCAATTCTAAATCACCCACGATAGATGGCTACCTGTTCAGTGAGCACAGCTTAGAGATGGATTAATATTTAAACACAGACTAAGTGCGTGTCCCAGACTGCAGAGGGAAGTCTATAATGGAGCAAGAGACAGTCTCAAAGCCCAGCATCATTTATGACAACAGTAAAACTGCACTTTTGGTTTGGATTTCATATTAATCCCCATTATTGCCTCACTCACCACCCATTTTAGTCAGAAGCACAATGAGGTTAAAAAAATCTGTTGCCATCCTGTGGTTAAAGCTGCTTTGCCACAAAAGTAAAGTTCAGGTGGGTATTTTGTGAGGGGGTTTTTTTGTGTGTAGAAGAGGCCACCTAACCCTGCAGACATTGCCCAGGAGAAGCCACGTGCCTGGCAACACCCTCAGATCCCCAAACCCTTATTTCCAGCTGATCTTCCTGTGGTGGGAGCCCTGCCATGGATCTGCACATAGTTTTTGTGGCTTGGAGAGGGAAGCCTATAATCCTCTTTTTTGACCTGCTAACACCACTCCTGCATTTAGTGCTACAGAATTGCAGTTGGCAATACAAGATTTTTTGGTTCATTTACATGGAAGAGGTGAGACTCCTGAAATACAGCCAGTATTCCCAGGAAAGCCCCCTGGGAGAGTTGTTTTGCAGAGGGGCCCTGTAGCTCCTTTATTTCTTTGTTCCACTGCACACAAAAAATTGTAAAAGCCAGAGGAACCATTTGGCCTCAGGAGCCAAATGCTGATTATTTGGAATCAATCATTGGCCAGGTTTTGTCTCAGTGGAAAAGCAATAGGTTTCCTCTGCTTGCCTTGGTTTTTGACTTTCCCATCCATCTCTGTCATCCTGAATGATTTCAAGAAGGTAACCCGTGCTCCTTGATTGTTTGTTGGGATGTACTTATTTAATTGCTGCTTTGTTCCTTACAGTTCACCCTGACTTATGGAAAACCAAAAAACCAATGGAGTTTTACTGTTTTTCCCTTTGCCCCCCTTCAGATGTATCAGATCAACCAGACCCACGGTCTTCTGAAAAAGATTAATTCTGTCATTCAAAAAATAACAGAGCCCATCCAGCCCAAAGTGGCAGAACACAAACCTCAGACGGTGAAGCGCCTCTCCTACCCCTTCTCCAGAGAGAAGCAGCACTTGTAAGTGAAAGCTTTCCCTAAATTTCCACATCAGCAGGTTCCAGCCTCCCTGGTGGCAGCTGAGGCACCAAGAGGTGAATGGAGAAACAAGCACCAACACTTCGATAGGGATTACTGCTCCATTTTGCAGCGAATTTAGGTTTTTGGGGATTTTCTTTTTTTTTTGCTCACTGTTGAGGACTGAGTCTTTGTAGAGCCACTCTGTGAAATCTCTGTGTGTTTTATCTGCTCTTGTGGCACTATATAACCGTACACTTCAACTGTTAGGCTGCCAAACACGATTTACAATGTGGTTTGCAATGGTCTCTTTTCCACATAAAATAAAATGCTCAGTAAAATTTGTAGCCAGGGATGTGGGCTGATAAGTTTTTTTTTTAGAGTAATTTCATTTATCTGGTGTGGGCAGATGACACAGGTTCTGCCAAGCCAGGCCTCGCCTTTGAAGCTTTATGAAGTCACTGGTGGCTTTGCCATCGATCTCAGATCAGTAAGAACAGCTGTAAATGTGGGTGTAGGAAAAAATCATAAGGTGGGGTCCAGCCAAAGTTTCTGCTGCCCTGAATTGCTTTGCTTTGCTGCTCTTCCTTGGCCAGAGTCCCAGCAGAGTCACTTTGAAGGCTGTGTTTAGGGATGTGCCAGCTGGAACAAATAAGTCCCAGGGCAGGATTTCTTCACTGTACCTACAGTATTTTTAATTTTTCATCAAGGGGTGCAGAACACTGATGGAGTTGTGTGTGTGAGTTGGGTCAGTCAATGTGTGTGACATCTGACACGGTGTTGGACTTGCAGGAAATGTGTTTATTGAGTGTAGGATGTTCCTGCAGTGAAGGAGCCTGGTGGCTCAGAGGAGGTCCAAAAGATGCTCCTGAGCTTGGGTGTGGATGTGCCTTTTGCTGTTTGGCTTTTTCAGGGAGACCAGCTGTGTCTTTGCTGAATAAGGGAGGCAGGAGTGGCCCCACGGTGTTTCAGGCACAGAGGAAAATGTGGAGATGATTAGGGGAAATTCAAGGCCAGCAGTGGTCAGGAATTCAGCTTCAATGAGCATCAACAGTCTCTTTTGTGCAGAAAATCCCCTAAACATACAAACTCAGTAAAATGTATAAGCAGCCTCTTTAAATTGTGGGAGTTGGGCTGGATTTTCTTTTCAACAGTTTTTCTACAAGCTGCTCTTTAGTGGTAGCTTTGAGAAACCCCCTGGAGAAATGAAAATATTGAAGGGGTCAACAAGAGCAGGAAATTACTGACTCTTTTTTTTAACCTAATGGGCTTCCTTCTAATCTTTTAACAGATTTGATTTGTCTGACAAGGATTCCTTTTTTGACAGCAAAACAAGAAGCACTATAGTAAGTACTGAATATAAATAATTTATGGTGGATAGTGCCTTAATTGTTTGTTGTGTTAGCAGCCCCTTTGCCAGCTTTAATACAATGCTTGTTCAAGTTTGCTTTTCTTAACCAAATGCCAGGGTTCTCCTGTGCCATCAGTTATTAAAATTATAAATAAAGCATTTCCACATTTAGCTTCTGTGCTGAATAGTGTTTGATGCTAACAGGCTGCTGCTTTTTGGAAAATCATTTGGATCTCCTTTCTAGTTCACATTTAATCTGGGACACAGTTTCTTAGTAGAGATATCACCAGAAAGGGATATTTAGATTCTGCCACCAGCTGCCTGCACCCCTGTTGACTCGTTCACCTTTTTGTAACTATGATGTTGCTCTTTTTGCAAAATACTGTAAAACACCCCAAGAGAAATTCCAATGGAACAGCCAGGTATTTACAGGGAATATTAGTTACAGTTTGGGAGGAGGGGGGAGTTCTCTAGGATGGTATTAAAAGCGTTGAGGTACATGATTTTTATCTGACTTACAGAGAGTGGGGAAGAAACCACTGAGGGGGGGATTGAACGGACATCCAGGGCAGCTGGAAGGGACTGTGCCAAGCAGCACTTGCTGCAACACTTTTCAAAGTATAACATGGACTCTTTGCCCCATTCCACTGCCCCTAACTGGTGTGTTGGAATGTGACTGCAGTCCTGCTTTTATCTTGTATTTAGCATTAGCCTTGTGGGATGCTGAGTGGTTTCAAAAAGAGCTTATATCACAGTTTAGAGCTGCCTTTTATTGCTGAGGTGATAAGGGGTGTGAGATATCTAACTCTACTTTCCCTCTTTGAAATTCCAGCGTATTCTATAACGTAGTTCCCCTCTGGCTTGAAGTGCAGTGGTTTGATGTGAGTGCAGGTTATCAGGACAAAGAGAGCTTGGCCAGGGAAGGCAGATGCAGCAGCACAGAAATGGGAAGGAAAAGGACAAACATTGATTTGGTTTGTTTGAGATAAAAACATTTAACTCGAGATTGAAAAAGTAAATACCAAAAAGGAATAGATTGTAGGCTTTCTTTTATAAATGTCTAGATCTAAGTACTACTTCTTTGTAAGTAGAAGGAACTTAAGGGAGCAAGTGAAGAGTTAAAATTTGTGATAGCAGGCTGAGCAAGACAGAAAGACAAGATGGCACTGTATGACAAGAGGGTGAGCAAGACTAACTAAAAGATGGACTGACACAGTAGCTTGTAGCAGAGGCTGAGAGGAAGAGGAGGGATAGGGTTTTTTTTAACTACTCAAGGAACACTGGACATATATCAGTAATGCTGGTGGTGTGCTGCTTTGTTTTAAATCCCTGTAAAAATCACCCAGCAATGAAGGGCATATTGAATGCTTCCCAACACCATTTTATCCTGTGTTCCTTTCTATTTGTATTCCTCTTTCTTAAAAGTTCTCTCCTGCCTCCCTCATACGTATTTTTGAACCACAGTGCAAATATTGACCCTTCCGCCTACTGCGGAGTGAGCAGGAATCTAGTCACTACCCGTGAGTCTTTGCTGGATAGAAACTAAGCCCAAGACCTTTTAGTTATTAAAAAAGAAAATAAAAAGAACTTACGAGTGGAAATCTCTCTGTGACAGCCCTTTAACTCGCCGGGGTTACAAGACAACAGGCAGATGAGCTGTGGGGCTTGCCCCGGGTGCCCTCACTTGCTCCCTCACGTGAATTGGGCAGCAGCCGAGTTAGCACATGGATTAGGGAACCAGGAAACCAGTCCCTGACTCCTTGAACAGGCCAGGCAGTGGGCAGCAGATGCTCTTGCTCCCGATTTTCCTGTGCTGCCTGCTCCCCTGCCAGCCTCGTGCCGGCCGGGTGCCTGCCTTGCCCGGGAGCGGCCGAGAGCTCGACCTCTGGGGCAGCCCGCTGAGCCGTGCAAAGGTTATTTGACAATAAATGCAATAAATCCCAAAATAAATACGTCTGCTCTGCCACTGAGGTCAGGCAGGCTCAGAAATGTTAAGGTCAGCCCGTGTTAGTCCCGTTTGATAAACGGCTGCGTGCTGTGTACGCGCCGTGAGACCGAAGCTCTGCTGGAGCCCTTGGACCGGGGCCAGCCTGTGCCACTGGAGGCGAAGGAGGAGCTGGTCTGGGGAGAAGAGGGCTCCTGATCTTCAGTCAATGCCTAACACGAGCAAAAATAGCATTTTTGGGTAGATGCAGCCCCGTTTCCCCCCCGATCAATTCTCTTGGTAGCTGGCTATTTAGTTAAGCATTTCTCCCTTGCACGGATAACTCGGCGTGGAAAGCTCCAAGCCCCGCTCTCCTGAATGCCATGACTTTTAGTAAAGAGTGATGACTTCATTGACATCTTGGTTTTGCCAATATTGGAGCTGTACACAGAAAGATTGTGCTTTTTCACTGGCAGTGTCTGGAGTAACCCCTTCCTTTCTTTTGTTTTGCTCCTGCAGGTCTATGAAATATTGAAAAGAACAACATGTACCAAAGCAAAATATAGCATGGGTAAGGAACTTTATTTAGCTTTAAGATCAATATCATTTTCAGGTATTGAAAACAATTGCACGTTGTAAATGGCTGTGGAGTTTAGGTTCTTCCCCTGCTCTCTAATTTGATGTACGTGGATGTAATTGTTTTATTTGGAAATTTGATTCAATCAGCGTAGCTCTTTGACATTTTTTCAAATGTGACTTTGGAGATTCGACTCTAAATTAAATGGTAAGTGAGCATTCAGCCCCTGCAGATGTTACTGAGGTCTTTTGCAGCAGAGCTGACTGCTGATACAGACCAGTGGATAAGCTGTGCTCTGCCCTGGCTCAGTTTTACCCCCACTGAAATGGATGAGGGTTATCACCACGAATTTCAACAACTGCAGTGAAAGTCTTGGCCCATTATCCCTTTAAACAGGAACCTCACATTTTATAGGGGTGTGTCTTTTCAGTGCCTTGAGTGGAATGGTCTTAACTGATGACTGCCCAAAACGCTGTCCTGAGTGGAACTGAGATTACTCCAGTGGAACAGCCAAGGACTAAGCCTTGCACTGGAGCTGGCCCTCAAAACAGTTGTTTTTCTACACAGGGTGTAGAGTTTCTACTGCCATGACCAATAGTTTTAGGACTTCAGCCTTAGGGTTTGTGCTGTAGGAATTAAATTCATAATGCAGGTAAAACATGAGTTGCAAATCAGGTCACCTTAAAGATTTGTTGGCAGCTTATCCTGTTCAGCTGTTATAAACTTTATTTTATACATATTTAGGCATGTACTTGACCATGGGACCAAAGTTAACAAATAGTTAATGGTAAATCAAAATAAATAAGCTAGAAGGGTGAATTCCCAAACAAATTTCTATGAGCAAAGTGCATGAACATGGGAGAAAATGTTTCATAACTGTTGAACTCTGTTATAGTGTTTATTTGCTTACAAGCAGTTAAATAAAACAATGAGAACTTGAATTACAGGTAGTTCTGTTCAATATTGACCCATCAGCTGCTTAGAAAGACAGCAAATAATAGGAGAATAACCATGCCAGAAATCATTTCCATGCTTTGGCTTTTGTGTTGAAGTAACAACATACAATGTACAATTGTTGACTCCTTATATACACTGAATTTTGGTGTTCAGCCAGTATTAACAGAAGTGCTGTTCTCTGTAGCCTGGGAAATCCAAATTAATCTGTGACTTTCAGGACCCTTTTCAAGTCTGGTGCTGGATCATTTTCACTGGAAATTACGTCGTTGCACTCTTGAAAGGGGAAGGTCACACAGCTCAGTTTGAATTCTTGCCTTGGAGTTGGTTTCTCACTTGATTTTTTTTCCTTTCTTTCTTTTTTTTTTTTTTTGGTCCAGAAATGGGAAACACATTAAGGATTAGTTGAATAAGGCAGAGGCTGAAGGATGGTAGAGTGTTAGGATTCCTGGATCGTTCTTCTGCCTAAGAGTGGCAAGGCCACACAATATACCTAATAAAAACATCCTTAGGCCAGGCCAGCCCAGCCATGGGCACTCAGCATAACTCAGCCACATCCTTTGTGTTCCAGTGCTGGAATGCTGGGTTACAACCCAGCAAACAGATTTGAGCAAACACAGATAATGCTGCAACATTGCTGCCCAGCAGGAAAAAAGGCAGCTGCCCAGGGAACACTGCGGTCTTTGTTATTTATTTTGAAAATTTGTGAAAATGTGACTCTGTCCTCATTGTTAAATGTAGAGGGGGGGGATTATGTAGCTCCTTTTTCAGTCACACGACCCTAGAAAAATAATTTATCTGCTCACCAGTTGTTTCTGCCAGAACATTTGCAGACAATTCATAGACCTGTATAATCTCAAATAGGGCTTTGAAAATTAATGATACTGCAAGATACTGAGCACTCCTGGAGCTGTTCCTCCAGCAGGTGATTAGTATCTCGAAAATGTTAATGAACTTGAAAAATTCCCCTTTCAAGAGCAATCAGAAATGACTCTGTGAACCTACAGTGTTCATAGTGGTTCCTGGTTCATAGTTGCTGTTCTTTCATGTCCAGTCCCACACTCTTTTCTTAGCAATGAACTGATGGGTGACACGGAGCACACTGCAGCACATCATTTTTCTTTTCTTTTTTTTAAAATCCTTTTGAATTCTCCCCGGTGCCAGTGGCCAGGTATTTTTTTTTTTTCCCCAGTTGGCATTAATCACCCTTGCCTTGCACAAAGGCAAGTGCTCACCTTAGCCCTGATTCAGCACCCAGAACTGGTTCACTGACTCCCCAGACGGATGACACGACACCTCCAGACGTGGTTAATGCACCATGATCAGAAGTTCCTGTATTAATGTCAGCAGAGAATTAGAGGAGTAATGAGCTTCAACCCTTCAAAGTCCAGGTTCCCAACCTTTGGGAATGGTGCAGGGAGCTGCAGTGTTGTGCTCCTCCAGACTTACACATTTAATTCCTCCTGCCCCACCCATCCTCTTATGGATGAGGGGGATCCCAGCCCTGGGAAGGCAGGATGCCTCACAGCCCCTTGTGCCACGTACATTTATAGATGAAGCATTAATTGCTTTCAGCCTCATGCATGTTCACTAATAAACGGATGTGTAAACAGGGAAAGGAGAGGGAAGAAAGAAGGAAACTACCCTTTTAAATAAAAGACGAAAATGTGGTAAATATGGTAAGTATTACGCCAAGGTCTTCGCAAAGGCTTTCCCTACAATTTCTCTGATCAATCTGAAATCTCAATTCAAAACTCTGTGTGGGTGATGTGTGTGGATGTGTGTTTCCATGTGCCATCAATTCCAGCCATATCCTCCTTGTGATCCAGCCTTCTGCTACACTTTCAAATCTTCAGGCTTGCCCTTAAATCAAACTGACTTTTCAGAAAATGTAATTTATTTTAATGACTAATTTCAAGTCATTGGCTTCTACTTCTTGATTCTCAAATATATATGACTTCCTCTTGCTCTCTGCAGTTTTCCATTTCATAAAATGAGACGTGTATAATAACCTATATGATTAAAAATGAAACTACATGGGAAGGAATGAGATGACAGAAAAATCATTATCCGATCAAATGACTGTTATTTTGAGGGAAATCTCCAGGAAGGATGATAAAGTGAGACTGTCTAGCCTTGAAATTATAAATAACTATTATGTCTTTATTTTTCAAGGGATCACCAGTCTGCTTGCCAACGGAGTTTACAGTGCTGCATATCCCCTGCATGATGTAAGTGATCTTGTAATACATTTCACATGTCTGCTGCCTGTCACCAAAAAACCCTTCGTGCGTTACGTGTTAATGGCATCATCCCAGACAAAAGTGTTTTGGTTCCTGACTTCCTGCTCGCTTGTACCACGACTGCAGGAATTCCTGCAGGTTGTTTCCATTGTTCTGCTCGGTTTTAATGGATTCCTCCACCTCTGTCCTACATTTGGTGATCGTGAGTGGCACTGGAACGTAACGTTAGAAGAGTTGTTTCGGGGGGTTTAGCAAATTAAATGCTTCTGTTATTTTCTGACCTTCTGCTCAGGAGATCCCTGGTAGCAGTGCTGAGAAACATATTTATTCCTGGGGCACCAAGGGCTGGTTCCCTCGTTGCCTCCCTGAATCCCTCCTGGCTGCATGGAGGTGTCAGGAGCTGTGTGTCTGTGCCATCGGTTGCCACTGGAGCAAAAACCATGAGCATTTTCTGAAGTAACATATTTCCTGGGACCGGGTGTGACTGCAGACCTTCTAACTGATGAAAGCTGCTTTTGGGCAGTTCACTAAGATGTCAAGAGTGTGTTCAACTTGGTGCTTGTGAAGAGGGTTATTGAGGGCTGAGGAATTTTGGTGACACTCATACCCGGGCTGCGGGTCCCCGTCCCGCCAGAGGGGCACACAGCTGGATGCTGATGGCATTTTTACTTAGAAGTTCGAGGTGCAGCTAGAACTGACAAACACACACTCAGAAAAGCTCAACAGATGTCAAGGGGACGTGGCAGTCACTCTCTGTGTGAGCATCCGAGGGCTGTCGAGCCTGGTGGCGGTTTTCCGGCCTGGGATGTGAGGATGAAACGTGTCTCCCCGGTTTTCTGCTCCCCACACTCACACTGGTTTCACATGGGACTGGGAGAATTTTGTCTTGGAGTAACCAGGAACAGAACAGCCTCTTTATCTGCCTGATGTTTATCATGAATGTCAGGACTCTCAAACTGCAGCCGTATCGTGTAGAAATCAAGAAAGGCTGAATAAACTTCTCTGCATGTTCTTGCCTCACGTCTTTAGACAGCTACTGATAGTCTTGTATGTAAGTTATTTATTGTCTTAGTTTACTCCTTCATCTTATTTAAAAATAGCTCCAAATTAAAACCTCAAATCTAATCAGCCCTGAGTGGTTGGATCTGGATAGGGATCAGCTCTCTCAGCTGGTTTCTTCTCTTTCAAGTGGACTGAGCTGAACCCCAAATACCATGGCAATACCACATCCTTTCCCCTGACATTTTTAGGCCACCTTTATCACTTATTCATTCCTTTTCCCCCAGTGACAGACACTATTACTCTTTCTTAATGTGCCTGATGACAGAGGACGAAGTGTGCCATGACAAATGGACTCCTAAAATACAGCATTATTTTACAGCTTGCTTTTTCTGGTTTTGATGCATTAAGTGAGTGGGATACAGGGGAATGCAAATACAGAGCAGTCCAGGGCACAACTCACTGAATGACGCAGATTTTCTCTTTTTTTAAAGGGTGACTATGAAGGTGAAAACGTGGAACCCAATGACAGAAAAGTAAGTTGATACAGAGGGGGTTTAACATATTCACAAGAGTCCCAGCCTGAAGAGTCACCTGTTGCAATCTGGATGTTTGCCAAGATTTCACAGAAAATACTGCAAAAAAGGCACTAAATGCCAAGCAGTAGAAGTGCAGAAGTACTTCCCAGCTTTTAAATTTGCCCAAAATGTGGAATGCAGTGTAACATGTATAAATAAGCAGCGTATATGGTATGTCTAAATAAGGAATACGTATAAAATACCCAGCTCGGTAATGATACGTTTCATGCCACGTTAGTAAGAATATTGACAGCATTTCTGTGTGACTCCTCCTAAAGTTCAGATGATTTCAGGCCAGCTCTGATGAGAATATGCTCAGTCACATTCTGGTATCTGTATCAGATACAAATCCTGCTTCGTTCCATGGCAAGCTCCGGTCTCAGCACTGCAAACTCTGCTGAATTAATTTGCTGCTGATCTGCAGTGTGAGCATCAGAACTGGTGGGGGCGGGGGGGAAGCACCTGAAAACACAAGCATGAAAGTGACTGGGAAAGATAAATATGGAATATTTATCAGGAATAAGAGGTCCCCAGCAAAGCTTTAATGTGGGCTCTTCAGGCAGAAACTGCCCTGTGGATGCACAGCGTTTCCTTTCAGTCCATGGTTTAAATTGTGGTTTTATTGTCTGTGTAGTGAAAGACATCAGTTTATTGCGGTAAAACAAGTGGGAATTATTCTAAGGAAATACTTTTCATAAGAAAAAAAACCAAAACAAAACAAATTTTTGCCCTTTGTGGAAATGTTGATTTCTTAAATTCAAAGTGTGGTTACTCCACCCTCCCCATCACACTTCCCTGAAGAAGTCTGCCTTTTGTCTCTGTGTGTCAGACAAAACCTGAAGTAGAGAGGTTACAACCAGTTCTCTCAGGAGGAGCTGCTAAATTTGGGTGTCATGTGGTGGCTTTTAGACCTGAAACTTTGCCTTTCCGGTTTGTTTCGTGGTTTCGTCTCCAAAGAAATGCTCTGGACGTGCATTTCTCGTAGGAAAAGGAGATCCAAAGACTTGCAGGTTGGACATATGAAAATAGGTACCCAAAATTAACAGTCTGCTGGGCCTTTAAGGTGCAAATGGCTCATCAAAGGACAGTGGATGTTGTCCCCCTCCCTCTATTGATTTGTGTTAAAAATACCACATACCTGTCATTTCATCTTTAAGCAACACAACACCCAACCAAAAATAGGATTAAAGTCCATATTTTATGGAAGTGTCTGGATTATCTTCTTCACTGCTAGCATTTCAAACCTCACAAATTCACTCATTTCACAAGTTCCTTGTGTGTTTGGAAGTGTTTACCTTGGCTTTTGACTTTAAGTTCCCTCAAATAATCTTTTGGTGTCTTTTGGCATGTTTCTTCTGGTTTCTCGAAGCTTTCTTTAATCTAATCCAGTGCAAAGCTAGGTCTGTGCCTTTTTTTAACAAGAAAATTAAAGATTTGAGGCATAGAAATGAAGTAAATATTTAGGTCTAGTGCACTGATCTCCTCTAATCACGTCTTTGAAGCTGTGCTTTGAATATCAGGCTGATAAATGTCAGGATAAATGAGATAATTCATTTGTACTTTAGACACAAATTTGGTTTCGAGTTGCACAAAACTAAAACATGGCACTGATGCAAAATCCCTTTAGCTGAGTATTTTCCTGATATGCCTGACAAGCTTAGATCACAGAAAAGGAATCCAATTTACAGCACAGACTTAGTTGTAAAAAAGAAATTAAAGCAGAGTGCACATGGATGTCAAGGTGCCCCAAATCGTTGCTTCCCAGACATGTGCAACGGGCCTTAAACTTATGGAAAATGTGGTTAAAAGAAACCTAAAGCAGAATAAAAACAAAATATACAAGAATGTTGCTGTTTAATAAAGGCCTGCTGTTAGGATTCAGTTTCTGCCTTTACTGTTGTAAGGAAATTAATAAAGATTAATGATTTTGTGTTGCTGAGGGGAAAACCCACAGTCCACTTAACATTTTTGACGTCACGTTTCTGTAAAAGTTAAGGAGTTGCTTTTTTTTTTTCTTTTTTTTCTTATAATGACTCGAACCATTTGCCTGAGAAGTACAACAGCTGAGCTTGGAAAGTCTGTGTTAGTGGTTTGTTTGGCAGGAGAATTCCAAAACTGCTCTAGAAACAGTTGCTGGCTGCGTGACTTCTCCGTGATAGAAGTGTGAGCGGGAGGAACGGGCACGGGCAGCGGTCAGGCTCTGGTCTGCCCTTCATTTCCCTGGGGAGATGGAGGAGTTTGATATCTGTCAAGGTTCTCATGATAAAATAGCCTGTATATTTAGGGAATAACATCCTGTTTGGGCTGTTTGCTGTGAACAGAATTCATCATGTTGCCCTCCCTCTGATGATCCTGGTTTAGGTCTCGGTTCCCCTTTGGGTTTCTTGCAAAGCTGCACGGGGTGTGCAGCCCTCACCCCACCCGTGGAGGGTTGTGTAACCAAGCTCTGACATCTTCTTTTTGTTTCATTACCCCACATTCAGTGAAAATAAATACCTCAGCAATAATCAGTTTATGCTCTTACATTTGGGGGGAAGGGGGGGAAGCGATTGTGTTGTTGAATTAATAAAAACAGAAGTGACCGTCCAAGGGTCTCCTTGAAATATCAGTGCTTGCTCCAGGAGCATTTACCAAGTTTATGAAGCAGGGAGAGAAGCAGTAAAGGGAGATCTGACCTCACAAGCAGATATAAAGCTGTTCTTCCCCCACAGAGGAGGTGCTGGGTGGCCAGAGAGCCCAGTTCATCTTCTTCAGTATTTTTTGGGTTTCTTGTTCACTCCGTTAGCTGAACAGAATAAATAAAATAATCAGGGAAGAACTATTTACATATTTTACAAAATAAAGGATAAGTTGAAGGTCTCGAAGGAACCTATTTTTGCGAGGGATTCGATTTTTTAAATCAGTAATGGGGACCATTGTTTTCCTTGGGCCATATCCTAACCAAAAGGAAGAGTGGAAATCGTTGGGTTCCTGTGGCTTAAAGCTGAAAAACATCCTAAATGCAGCCTTCGAGGCACCTCTGCCCAGCACCTCTTGATGGATGCTGAATTATATAGTTTGTATAGCAAAAACAAACCAGTTTATCCTAATTTTTTTTTTCTGTCTTCTAAAAGCTCAAAGCATATTCATCTTTCACATCCATTCTGCTACGGAGCATAAACCCAGGACTGCTCTCCCTGTCTCTGCTGTGGTTATCCATCAGTCCAGTTGCTGAAGAGCCTTTTAATGTGCTAGAATTCATCACTGTGTTAGAGCTTGCCAAATCAGCACATTTATTTTTTAATACTTAATGCAGACCGAGTGCATTGGCACGTTGTGGGTTGAAACCACAACGGGGTGAGACCAGAAATCTCACCCCCCCCCCCCCCGTGTGAGCTCTGCAGTTTGCTGGGGCCAAAGGAGAACACGCTGCTCCTTCAGCTCTCACCTCTCCTTTCTGTTTTGCAGCTCCTGTGTGAGGAGTGGGCGAGCTACGGGGTGTTTTATAAATACCAGCCAATCGACCTGGTGAGGTGAGAGTTGAGCCCTTAAACATCGTGTTTCCCCGGGGCAGAGGTGAAGCTGTGCAGAGAGGTGCTGATGGGGGTGTCCAGGCGGGGTGTCCGTGCCCTCAGTGCCACCCCAGGGGATTCTGGAGAATGGGAAACTGGGAGAAAAGGAGTTTTTTTGTGTGAGTTTAGAACGTGCTGGTGCATCCCGCCTAGAGCGAAAGCTTTTTAATTTTGAGTCAATTCTGTTTGCTCATGATGAGACTCTCTGAAGAAAACGAGGTGCTTTTTTTAAGAGGATTTGCTCACAGAAGATCTAAAGATACCAATTTTGCAGAGCAGAAACGTGGGGGGGGGGAGAAAATGACTAGTTGGGCTGGCTTGTTTTCATGGTGCCTGTATCTCTGGATGAACTCCAAGCATCATGAGAAAGAGAGTCCTCTGAGAAGAAAAAAATTCCCACAGGTCATCAGATCTTACTTTCTCCATGCTTAATCCATCTGTGATTCATAATTTTAGCCACGTTTTATTTTAAGAAATAGGAAACATTTTTCTCTCTCTCTCTCTCTCTCTCATTTCTTTTTTTAAAAATTTATTTCAGAAAATACTTTGGAGAGAAGATTGGGCTATATTTTGCCTGGCTGGGAGTTTATACACAAATGCTCATTCCAGCTTCCATTGTCGGGATTATCGTTTTCCTCTATGGCTGTGCCACTGTGGATGAGAACATACCCAGGTAAAACAAATAAATAAATAAATAGATTCTGTTGCTGGAGGGCACTGGAAACTCAGAGTTATCTTCCTTTAGAAATGTTTAGAAATACCCCCTACCAAGGGCACAAAAGAGCCCATTTTAATCTCGTTAGCATTTATTGTTAATTTTACATGTGGAGTTTGCATTGATGTGCTACAAATAATTCTTGGCCAGTTGCTCAGGTAGTTGTTTTTTTTTTTTCCTATCTGAGATCATTATGTTAATACAAACCAACAAAATACTGCTAATGATGGGGTTTGGTGCTTCCCAGCACAAAGTGCTGAGGGAGGACATTGTGTGACTTAGAGATGCATGGAGCATGTACATCGCTGAAATAAGCAACTGTGATCAGATTAACAAAGTCTTGATGTCCTCCTATTTTTAATCCTTTAGTAAGTTTTGCATTATGATGTTTTTAAAGCCCTCTGATTTTGCATTATTTGCCCTTCATGCATCATCAAGCTGGAGATGCAAATTACATGGTTTGTACAACAACCATGAGCCCTGAATAACAAAGCAGATAATGGATACAGAAAAATAGATATTTTTTTTTAATTCATTAAGACTACTTTGTACTGCTTCCAACAGTTAAAGAAAGTCAAAGGGAGGGTCACTGTTGCTATTACACAGATGGAGCACAGAGAAGATAAATTGGTTGAACTCCAGTCTCTTGATACTTGTACCTTATCTATCACTGTAGTTAGAATTTCAAAACAAGAACACTTCAGTTTTATTTTATTCTGTAAGATCCTATAGTAAAAAGGGATCAGCAGCCATGAGGATTTCAGCCCCTGCCACGGTGGAGGTTACAGACAGGACTGCTCTGAGTTCTCTGAGTGGTCTCTGATGGTCCTACAGACCACCAGAGGAGAAAAGACCCTCAGAGCATGAAGAGGGAGCCACACTGACCATGCTTTTCCCACATCTCGTTGCTTTGTTGCAGTATGGAAATGTGTGACCAGAGGAACAACATCACCATGTGCCCCCTGTGTGACAGAACGTGCAGCTACTGGAAGATGAGCTCTGCCTGTGCGACTGCCCGTGCGAGTCATCTGTTTGATAACCCTGCAACTGTCTTCTTCTCAGTCTTCATGGCTCTCTGGGGTGAGAAGATCTATGCCTTCATGTTAAGTTTTTAATTACTTACAACAGGAAGGAAAAGAAGAGATAAAGCAGTGTATTTATACTCAGGCAGTTAATGATGTAAAGAACGTCTCTTTTTTTCCTTCTTTTTTTTTTTTTTTCCTTTCCCACGAATCTGCCACGCCCAAATTTATATTCTGGACTGGAGGCTAAAATTCAAAAAGTTGCTCAAGCTGAATATCAAATGAAATTGTTAAGCATCTGTCATAAAGCTGCTGCGTGGTCTGTCAAAATTTCATTAACGGGATTGCACAGCTTGCCAAAAAAAAAAAAAGAAAGAAAAAAGTCTTTGCAGAGCCAGCTTCCACTTTAGAACATTACAGAAGAAATGTATTAATGTACTCTGGGGTTGAGGGGAGGGCTCTGGGGGGGGAAGTGTAATGGCCTTTAGCATCTTCAGGACAGAGCAACATTGATCCCCGAGCGTGCTCCGAGATGCAATTAAGTTTATCAGCAGGCAGACCCTGAAGTGGGAACAGTGGCTTTGGAGGTATTTTTCCTGCTGCTGGCTGCCCTCGTGCTTTGAGCACATCACTTAACCTTTCCTGGCTTGTCTCTGGAGCTTGGGTAAAGGTATTAACCCTCTCATGAAACCTTTGTGAGAGGGTCTTCAGGAATGGTGATGGAGGGCTCTTCTCATCCCTGCTGGAGGAGGGGTGGGGACCCCATCCCCAGGCATGGGCACTGGGGGAGAGGAGTTTTGGTGGCCAGACACTCCCAGCATCAGTGAGAGCAGCACAAGATGATGTTTGTCTTCCTGCACACCTTGTGAATTAACATAACGTGTTTTGGATTATATTCCATCTTAATAATATACCCTGAGTTTTTTGTTTGTTCTGGGAGCTGCTTTTACATTACCATACACCTGAACAGATTTAAGGGAAATTGTGCATAATTCAATTTCAAGCAGTGTCTTTTTGGCCAAGGTCTCTGTTTGAGATGATAATGTTTTAGATGATGCAATTCTAGGAGCTCATTATCAAGTACCTTAAGGAGAAGGACTAGGACAGAGGGATTTTGGGAACACTGGGGTGCAGGTTTGGAGGGAAAGCTGGGAAGTGGTGGGGGGAGGTTGAGCTCAACCAGCTTTGCAGCAGAGAGGAGGGATTGCTGTCTCTCAGATCATCATCTGGCCATGCAGCATTTAAGGAGAAAGATGCAGTGTCAGATTTTAAACAGTCCAATTCTCTCATGCAGAGAGTCAAGTATCAACTTCTGTCTCCCTTATTTACCGTTATTGTGAACCCCACGTGGATCTTTGACCCTGTTGTCCAAAAAGTAGCAGTTTGCCTCCCTTTCCATAGCAAACATGGGTCTCTTCATCCATTTTTTTACAGTCTTGGGCAAAGTAAAGAAGACTGGCAGAAGCCAATTTCTGGGCTCTGTACAAAATCTGAGAGAGTTTTGAAGTGGGATGTGAAGCTCCTCAAGTTCTTTGGAATCAACCTATAATTTAATTGTGATGCAATACCACGTAAAACAAATGTTGTTGCAGAGAGATCTTTTCCAGTTGGGAAAATAAGAACTTTTTCCATGTAGTTCTGAACTTGTATTATTGAATTCATGTACAGTTGAAGAGCTGAGGCAGAGGAGACCCAAGTAACCTGCTCAGGACACAGGGCACCCTTAGCACAGCAAGAAGATAAGCCCAAGTTTAGGGGTATTAAGGTGAGCAAACATTAGGCCAGGCTTTCTTTGTATTGCGGTGGTGTTTTAACACCCTGGCAAACTCTGCTCCCACAAGCCTTAAACTGGCTATAGAACCAAAATGAGCCCTGGTCAGAAGTTCAGTGTTAAACATGGACTCTAGCCCAGTGCTGTTTGGTATTAAATGGCATTAAAAATGTCAGAGAACCCAGATAAGATCGTCTGGACAGCAACCTTTGGGAATTTTTAAGCTCCACTTACACTTAACGAGCGCAGATGAAATATGAAAATGCAGGTGCTCCTGGCAGAGCAGTGCTGCATCACTCCCTGGCACCTTCACTGAGGGCTTCTGACGTGAGCTGGCTGTGTTTCAGACAGTCTTTTCATCTTGCCCTGTTGTAAGCCAGTGCCACAGAAGGGTTTCTAGTAGCACGAGGGAACGACATCCCGTTCGTTCTCCGTGTTTCTGGCTGCGCGCGGGAGCTGCGGATCCCGGCGTGAGAACTGCTGGGAGAGGGGAGGCAATTCCAGGACCATGACACAGACCCTCTTAAGGCACAGCCACGGCCATCCTGATTAACAGGAAGCCTGTGGCTTGTGAAGAGGCTCGGTTGTAACTTTTCCATGTGAGAGTTTCGCTTGGAAGGCGAATGAGTGTCACGGCCCCAGCCTGGCTCCAGTCATGAGGGTGTCCTTTCCTCTCTTTTCAACTTTCTTACCCTCTCCCTGCCTCTGTTTTTCTCTGGATATGAGTGTTTCTGAGCACATCTGTTAATACTCACTGCAGGAAGCTCCCCTGGGAACACCATTTCTTGGTAGACTTGCCTCTTTCATAATCACTTATTTATTATACAACTCTGGTGTATTCCCAGCATCTAAATATGTCCTCTGAGAACTCGCTCGGTCTCAGGGGCAGATAGACTGATATAGACTGGGATCATTCATTGGGACTCAAGAATTGCTTTAATGAGTTTTTTTTCTCTAAGTCTTCTCCATCAAAAAAAAAAAAAAAAAAGGCAGTGTTTTTAGTGATAAAAACCCACAAAGGCTTCCTCTCTCACAGCCTGCCCACCACCAGCCATGAGTGTGTGTGATGATTAGAGCCAACCATACTGTTAAGACCTTTAGATGGATGTAATTACATGATATAAAAATGCTTTATCTTGACATCTTTGAGGGAATAACCCTACCATCAGTTCAAGGTTAGTTAAATCACTCACGTTTTATACAGATAAAACAGGCTTGTTTGCACTTATGGATGAAATTATATGTAGATGAAGACCATTAATCACACGTACAAATATTTAAATAAGCTTGGGTGCCTGACTTTCTTAGACCCCTTAGAAATAGCAGGCACCTTTCTACACGAAGCTGTGGGTGCAACAAATGCCCTTTATTTTTTTTTTTTTAGCTTACCTAGATAAAACATTTGACTCCTGACCCATCAGTATTTCCCAGACAGACGTGACTTGTTGAATACAAGAGAACAAAAATGAAGTTGTGTGGTATTACATGTCAAACTGTTGTTTCAGCTGCCACCTTTATGGAACACTGGAAGAGAAAACAGATGCGTCTCAACTACAGGTGGGACCTGACTGGGTTTGAAGAGGAGGAGGTTTGTCCCTTCAGTTCTGACTCTTTCGCTTCCACCGTGGTGTTACCAATAGCTCCTCACCCTGACCTGACAGACTTTGCCTCATGGGGAACCATTCTTGGGATGTTTCCATCGTTTAGCAGAAAGGAAAATCTCTATAACATGAGCTGTTTGAGGTTTTTTTTGTAGCAAGGGTATGACTAGTACGCCTTGTTGCCGTAGAAACGTAATTGTATAGCCACAAAATGTGATTTTATTTTTTTTTTTTTGAAGCGTGTAGTCGGGTCACACCTAGTGTGTAGGCATGGAATATACAGCTCAGAGCTCACTGCTGGGCTGATGTCAGGGTGCCAACAGCTAAGGACCTCATTCATCACACACTGCTGTAAACCAGGAATGAATGTACCGGAGCTGATAAAGTTACAGCACTGTGAAATAAAGCACTGAGAAATTCCTGTTAACTTTAACGATGCAGGATCAAGCCCTGACTTGGAAAATACCTCAGAAAGCACTGCCAGACCTGTGGGCTTTGGGGCATTGGGAGGGACATAATGTGGAGGTGGTGGGTTTTTTCTTCATTGACTAAAAAAAAAAAATATTCCCCAGCCAAGGTCGTACTAAATATGCTAAAGAACATAAAGGGGAAAAGGGCTGAATTTGTATGAAAAAAGGTCATCAAAATCAATGGAGGAAAGGAGAAGCTGAAAAGCTGCATCCCACCTTTTTGCTTTTAATTCTGTCACCTTGCAAAAAAAACAAAGGAGGCACCTTCCTGGAGCAGAACACAGTCCCAGCCCCCCCCCAGCCCCAAGCCTTGCCCTGCTGTTGTTATTAAAAGAACTATGACCTCCCTTGTCATATCTCGAGATGTTCTAAATAGATACACAACAAATACTGCTCACGTGAAACAAAACCCTGCCCAACTCACCGAGCCTGGCACAGGCACCGTTCCCCTCGCCCCCAAAGTCTTTCTGTCTGAATTATCCCCTCCCTCCCCTTAATATGTTTATCTCCTTCCTTAATATATTTAGGGGCCCTGTGCCAGCAGCCTCTGTGCCGTGTGCTGTGCTGGTTCATACCTGTTTGCTGGGTTTTAATAGGGGGATTTATTCCCTGGACACTATTCTGCTCTTTTATTTTTGGCAACTTGTTGTTATCACACATGAAAGTGGAGAGGATTAAGTGTATCTTTCCGATGTCTATCCCCTTCATGTCTGAGTTCACAGCCCCACAGAGCAGCTGCTAATACAGTGTATTTTATTCTGTGTTTTGGGTAGTCAGTGCTGGATAATCTGGTCATGTGTTTAGCACCGAATTGAGGCTCCTCCTGCCTCTGATTTGGGGGAAACTTAAGCTGGAATCGTGTTGAAGAATCAGGGTTCTGAGTGAAATGTTAAAACCCAAAGTATCTCATCTTGGGGTGTTTTTAGGGGTGCCTGAAGTTCACACAATACTGACAGTAATGTTACTAAATGCAAAACACGAGTAGACTGATTTTTGCCATCTGCTGTACCTGTGTCTGTTTTATGTAATTTTGAAAATATAAATCCAGTATGATCTGCAACTGTTCAGTAATCAAATTTTTGTTTATTTGTTTTTTTTTTCTTGTTTTTCGTGGGTTTTTTCTGGTTTCCTGAAGGAGGCAGTCAAGGTTTGGAAAACATTTTTTTTTTTTTTAAAATCGCTCCTACCTTTTTTATTCCATGTCTACTGATGAATGCCATCTTTTGATCTCCATTTCTTCTTTTTTGAGCATCAGATTTTCTTTAGATCTCCCACTGGTTGCTTTGCCTTTACACCCTCCCGCTCTCCACTTGTTCAGACTTTTTTCAGCTCCGTTCTGTTTCCCATCCAACGCATAATTTTGAATTCTGACTCTTTTATGAATGCATAATTATTGTGAATCCGTGAATCTTTCTGAATCTTTTGGCTGTCTCTTACTTCCAATTGTTTCCTACACCTTCTCCTTCAATGCACATGGAGAATCTGTGGGTGCTGTCCAAGACAGAATCAGGGGAACGCCCCAACTGACAATTCTCTGGCATCCCAAAGCCAAGTATTTTGCAAACCTACAGCAGAAAATTGTTTCCCTCACGAGCTGAGGATCACTGAAATTACAGTTAATGACATTCAATTTTTATCCAAAATGTAGGTAATTAAAATCCAAGCGTCATGTCACTCGGTATGAACTGTACTGTCTGCAGGTTTTGCTGTGTATCTCATGTATTAAATTTAATCTCTGTAACATTGCACGTGGGTGTCCAGATTGTTCTGCAGTTGCTGCTGTAGAACTGTGAATGATACAGGATTTAACATTTTTTTTAAGTACAGTCAGTTGACATGATTGACATCAAGTAAATTGGGATTCAGTTAGAAAACTCAGAAATTATCAGGAAATCAACCTGCAAACAGTCCATGTGTAGCTGATACAGAAAACAAGCAATTTTGCTTTTTATTGAATGTGACTTGTTTCACAGGATCATCCAAGAGCAGAGTACGAAGCTAAAGTTTTGGAAAAGTCACTGAGAAAAGAACACAAACATAAAGAGGTATGGTAAAAATATTCATTTGTTTCACTTAGAAAAGACTGAAAAAGAAGGTTGTTACAACAGGCACTGACCCAAGACTAAGGAATAGGTAAAAAATAGAAGTATTGCTCAATTGTGTTTAAATTCCAGGAGTCTTCAATCCTAGAGTACTTGGGGTGTGCCAGGGCACAACACCTGATTAAGTCTAGAAATGCTTTTAATGATTAGATTGAGGGGTGTGGCTTGGGGAAACTAATTGAGCCCCATCAAAGGGGTGCTCCTGTCACATTAATAAATCAAGTTCGAGAAAACCGCAACAAACCGTCTTAGTCTGTGCAGTAAAAGTACCTGAAGCCTCTCAGGAGAAGTCCTAGACTTTCTCTGCAAATAAAAAACATTACTGAAGAGCACTAACAGCGATGTCCACGCCAAATTCCAGCTTTCAGAAGAACTCTCTGCCTTTTAAAAGCACAACTTCCATTTTGTTCCACCGAACAGCGCAGCGCTCACTTTTGCTTTTAACTTGCTCTCTTTGCACCCTCGTGAGAGAGGTGCTGCCAGTCATCCTGAGAGCAGCTAATCACCCCTGAGAGCAGCTTCCCTGCCCTTTCCCCGAAGGCTGTAATTCTTTCCCTGTGACTGACTGCCCGTTATCAGCAGATTGATTGGAAAAAGCTCCTTTTCTCCCCCATGTACCGGGTTCCACCCTACCAGAAGTTATTCCCCCCCACTTAACTGCAAGAATTTAGCCATTTATGTGCTGTGTTTTTAAGAAGAGAAGTAAAAACTCCAGCTTAAACCAAACCTGTTGGCAGAATTTCCTCTCCTGTATCTGTTGCCAGTGGCACAGTAGCGTGGAGCCATTCCCTAAATAGGGGTTTTATGACAACCCTATGAAAATACTAACTGCAATAACAACATTTACACAATATACTCTTCAGGGGCAGCATATATAGATTGGACTGGTGTTAAAACTAAATTTATACTTGAGTACCATTTTCTTAAAAGATGCTGCAGAGCTGCCAGTGGTTTGTTCCCATTAATCTGTAGGATGCTCTAAGTGGTTCAGTGCCATGTGCAATACCTTTGTTGCAGCAGATAAACCCCTTTCAAATCCCTTGCAGAAGAGAAAAAATTTGGGTTGCTGCCCTCTTATAGGCTGGGTAAACAATTTTGAATACAGACTTCACTGTATTCTGCTAAAAACCCGTAACATGCTGTACTTTTGAGTATATTAAGAATTCAGGTCTTAAATGTGAAAGACTAATTGAACAATTAATTAATGGTAGCCCCCTAAGAATGAAAGTTGAGCAATTAAGAGGGTTTTGTTTTTTGGGTTTTTTTAACCAGACTATTTATAAAGTTTTGGGCTGCGTTCAATTTGGATGTTGCTAATTTGGGAAACGTGAGAAAAGGAGTTGTTTTTTTTCTGAAAGACTTGGTGGTTATCTTTCATTGGGATCTGGTGTGTTAAAGTTCAAATTCAACAGTTGTAAGACAACTTGGAAATCTTATCAAAGAAAAAAATATGTAAAACTAAACCAAAATTCCGTATATTATTTTCAAGAGAAATCCAATTAAAAAATAAAAAAATTAAAGGAAAAAGGTTTTGGACGTTCTTTATACTTCATAAAAGAAGGACACAATCCTGTATTAGAAAGGGAATATCCTTTGCAGGATTGCCTGAGGTACCCCAAGGCTTTGGGGAAAGTATTTGTCTGTTATTGTTGTTGTGTTTTATTAACTCAAAGCTGAAACACAAAGCCTTAAGCAAACTAAAAGAGCGTTCACTTGTGCTCAAGTGCTGTGTCAGCTGAGGCAGTAGAGAGTGTGTAATTAATTGAGCAGTCCTTTGTAATGCCATATTGCCCGACCCTTTCTTGTTTCCTTTGGCTGCCATCAGAAGCACCGATATTTTCCAGAAGAGACAGCAAACAAATGGAGACAAAGAGTTAAGACAGTCATGGCTGGGGTGAAATTGGTTCTTTTTATTCAAACTTATGAAGGAACTCAAATTATGAGTAATTATGGAAGACACAAATCAATTTGGTTTTTTTTTTTGGCTGTTGAACCTTTGTTTAATATTCACATTCAGTTCTGGGTCTCTTCCCCTTCCTCCCCCTGTTTCTTCAGCACCTTTTGGGACGCTGTTCCATGCCTTGGGAATGGCACTGCATGGCTAATCTTAGATTTCCCATCCTGGGCTGACTTTGTTTTGCAGTGGAGCATGGGCCACGTGTTGAGAGAGTTGCTTGCACTTCCCTGAGACAACGTGCATGTCATGAAAATAGAATTTGGCTAAAAATTTTGTGTCCATTACAACGTGTGCATTCGTCTCCTGTGATGTTCCTTTTCTTGTTTGTTTTTTTTTTTTTTCTGGTGTTTCCAAACAATTCCGGGCATCAAAGTTTGTGAGGGACTCTGGATGAGCAACACTGTTCTAAAGGAATTTTTCAGGGCCAAATTCAGCCGGTGGCTGATTGACTGGATTTAGGGAGTTCCACAAAGACTTTTTATCCACAGAATCACAGAATGGTTTGGGTCGGAAGGGGCCTTAAAGACAGTCTCATTCCAACCCCCTGCCGTGGGCACGTTAACTCCTGTTGGTGTGACCCATTGAATACCAAGGGGACAGTTAAAAATCACTCATATCCAAGGAATTTAAAGTCTCATACCACACACCAAAAAAGATCTTCCCTGTCAACTCTATAAGTTCACCTTGGAGTTACTCCATATCATACTTAAATCTGTATTTCAAGTGAGCCAGTTATGCAACTACAAAGCTGCAAATGTTAACTGGGGAGGGAGAGAGGAAGGAGGAGAGTTTTTTCTAGGGGAAGCAAAAGAAAATATTTAACAGTAAGAGAGACCTTACTTCATGCTTTCTGACAGCCTATTTGCATGTTTCCTTCAAAAAAAGTATACAGAAAAAAAAAAATCTGGTTTATTTATACTCCCAGTGCAGGCCCTTGACCAGTTTGAACCTGGATCTGGAGTAAACAATTTGCCTGTGTGGAATTGTAGCTGTAAACACTGTGTCTGCATCTTCTGACTGG